AGTGTGTGTGATTATGGTGTGTGTGTGATGTGTGTGGTGTGTATGTGTTGTGTGTGGTGTATGTGGGTGTGATGCATGTGGTGTGTGTGATGTGTATGTGTGTGGGGTGTATCTGTGTGTGGTGTATGTGTGATGTGTGTGGTGTGTATGTGTGTAATGTGTGTGGTGTGTGTGTGATGTGTGTGGTGTATGTGTGTGGTGTGTACGTGTATGGTGTGTGTGTGATGTATGTATGGTGTGTGGTGTGTGTGTGATGTGTGTGGGGTGTATGTGTGTGTGGTGCGTGTGTGATGTGTGTGGTGTGTGTATGTATGTATGTGTGTGTGGTGTGTGTGGTATATGTGTGTGATATGTGTGGTGTGTGTGATGTGTGTGGGGTGTATCTGTGTGTGGTGTGTGTGTGGTGTGTGTGTGTGGTGTGTGTGATGTGTGTGGGGTGTGTATGTGTGTGTGGTGTGTGTGTGGGGTGTATGTGTGTGATGTGTATGGTGTATGTGTTTGTGGTGTATATGTGTGTGGTATGTGTGTGTGGTGCATATGTGTGTGGTGTGTATGTGCATGGTGTATGTGTTTGTGATGTATATGTGTGTGGTGTGTGTGTGTGTGGTCAGTGTGTATGTGATGTGTGTGTGATGTGTGTGGTGTATGTGGTGCATGTGTGTGTGATGTGTATGTGTGTGGTGTGTGATGTGTGTGATGTGTATGTGTGTGGTGTATGTATGTGTGGTGTGTGTGTGGTGTGTGGTACATGTGTGTGGTGCGTGTGCGGTGTATATGTGCATGGTGTATGTGTGTATGTATGTATGTGTGTGTGGTGTGTGTGGTATATGTGTGTGATATGTGTGGTGTGTGTGATGTGTGTGGGGTGTATCTGTGTGTGGTGTGTGTGTGGTGTGTGTGTGTGGTGTGTGTGATGTGTGTGGGGTGTGTATGTGTGTGTGGTGTGTGTGTGGGGTGTATGTGTGTGATGTGTATGGTGTATGTGTTTGTGGTGTATATGTGTGTGGTATGTGTGTGTGGTGTATGTGTGGTGTGTATGTGCATGGTGTATGTGTTTGTGATGTATACGTGTGTGGTGTGTGTGTGTGGTCAGTGTGTATGTGATGTGTGTGGTGTGTGTGTGATGTGTGTGGTGTATGTGGTGCATGTGTGTGTGATGTGTATGTGTGTGGTGTGTGATGTGTGTGATGTGTATGTGTGTGGTGTATGTATGTGTGGTGTGTGTGTGGTGTGTGGTACATGTGTGTGGTGCGTGTGCGGTGTATATGTGCATGGTGTATGTGTATTGTGTATATGTGTGTGGTGTATGTGTGATGTATGTGTGTGTGGTGTGTATGTGTGTGATGTGTGTGTGGTGCATGTGTGTGGTGTGTATGTGTGTGGTGTGTGTGGTATGTGTGTGTGATGTTTGTGTGATGCATGTGTGTGTGATATATATGTGTGTGGTGTGTGTGTGATGTGTATGTGTGTGTGGTGTGTGTGTGGTGTGTATGTGCATGGTGCATGTGTGGTGTATATGTGTGTGGTGTATGTGTGATGTTTGTGTGGTGCATGTGTGTGGGGTGTGTATGTGTGTGGTGTGTGTGATGTGTGTGGTGTATGTGTGTGATGTTTGTGTGTGTGATATGTATGTGTGTGGTGTGTGTGATGTGTATGGTATATGTGTGTGTGGTATGCATGTGATTAGTGTGTGGTGTATGTGTGTGTGGTGTGTATGTATGTGATGTGTGTGGTGTGTATGTATGTGATGTGTGTGGTGTGTATGTGTGTGGTGTGTGTGATGTGTATGTGTGGTGTGTGTATGTGTGTGACGTGTGTGTAATGTGTATGTGTGTGATGTGTGTGGTGTGTATGTGTGGTGTGTATGTGTGGTGTGTGTGTGATGTGTGTGAGGTGTGGTGTGTGGTGTGTGTGTGATGTGTGTGGTGTGTGTGTGGTGTGTGATGTGTGGTGTGTGTGTGGTGCATGTGTGTGATGTGTGTGGTGTATGTGTGTGGTGTGTGATGTGTGTGTGGTGTGCATGTGTGGTGTGTATGGTGCATGTGTGGGGTGCGTGTGTGTGTGTGGTGTGTGTGGTGTGATGTGTGTGTGGTGTGTGTGTGTGGTGTGTGTGTA